CGTCGATCCACCCAGCCCGCATAGATTTCTGGAGTATCTTCTCTAAGCCAGGTACTGAACAGTGTTTGGTACCTAACTTGCTTCTGCAGGTAAAACTTTCGGGACTTCCTGCTTTTCCTCTGGGGCACTGTCCTTACTTCTCTCTCCCGGGCTCTTCCTCCTGCGCCATCACCACGTCACCGTGTCTAGCTCTGTCTCCGCATCTGCCAGTCTGCCCTCCCCAAGTCCTCACCTCTGCTTCTTTGTGTCCGGCTGTCCCTGTCCCTCCCTCTTTTGTCCCTGTCTCTCCCCGGCCCCCCTGGTGTGTCCCGCCATCTCCTTTCTCCTTGCCTCTCTTTCCCCCTCTTCCCCACCAGTGCTCTGGGTTCGCATGGGGTCCCCACCCTTCCCCACCGCCACTCCCCCAACCAGTCCCCTTAGGGTAAAAAGCCTCACCCATCCTGCTTACCCTCCCCCGCCTACCCACTCTGAGTGCTCAGGACTGACGCTTTCTTTGATGAGCCGCCAGTGAGGTGATGTCTGGGTTTTGTTAAATGTCATAAATAAATTATTAATTCTCTCCTGGGCGAGAGTACTGCCCCCCGTTATCCGCAGAGGGCCTGTGACATGGGGGGGCGGGCACTCCGAGGACTGACGAGAACCTTAGTCTTCGCTTCCCCTTCTTGGCCAGCTTTAGGGTGGCCCTGAGAACCCCTGGCCCAGCAGTGCTGAACCAGAGACCCCTCACCCTTTGCTACCCACCGTCCTAACCCTCTTGGGCCCTCCCTGGACTCCGCCCGCCATTGCCAAACACCTGCTGGGCATCACGCTGCCACTTTTCACTCCCAGTTTCAAATTCTCCCTCACCCACGAGAAAGGCAGCATTAGGCCCATTTTAAAGATGAAGAAATGGGCTCAGCGGGGTGACTGCTGGGAAGGGGCTGTGGGGTGAAGCCTGTGCTTCCCTGACCCTCCCTCCTCCTGGCTACCGGGTGGTCTTATGCCCTGCTTGGTTCTGGGTTGGGGGTGGCTGGGGTGGATTTAAGAAAAGGCAGTACTTCCCTTTGCCCCTGGTCCCCAAATGGTCTCCCCGGACTTCCGTCCTGCCCTCCCCTGTCCCCAGGCCTGCTCTGACCTGGGAGCCCACAGGTAGGAGAGAGAACAAGGCTGATGGGTCCTAATTATAGCCTTGGATCGATGAAGCCTTGGGCTGCGGGGGCAGGGCTGGTGCGGGAGGGCACTGCCAGACCGGTGGAGGGTTGTGGGGCAGCCAGGAGGGGCCAGGAGCTGCCAGGACAAGGAGCCCTGAGGCTGCTTCTTCCTGGGACCCGAGGGTGGGGGTCCCTCCTTACCACTGGGTGTGTGCCCTGAGGGGTGGGCAGAAGGCGGGGGCTCGGGAGGGCAGAGTTTGGGGAATGGTCGCTTGGATGCGACACCCAGGTCTGATGCAGAGGAGGGAGGAGGGGGCTGAGGTGAGGTGGACAGGCTGAGAAGGTCAGCCCTGGGTTGTCCTCAGGGTTGTGAGGGCCGCCAGGAGCAGATGGGGGAGAGAAAGAGCCTGTCGGAGATGGGGAGGACAGGCGGGGTCCCTGTCCTCCGTACCATCCCCTGAGTGGTCCTGGAGGAGAGCTTTAATCAGGCAGATGGTCCTGGGCCGGACGTCTGCGGGGTCGGAGAACCTGGTTTGCCCCTGGGCAGCGGGCTGGGGGCTGACCCTCGGACGTTTGTTCTGGACGTGGACTAGGGCTAGGGTGTGCCCCCTCCTCCCCAAGCCGGGCAGAGCACAGCCTACTGCGGGCCACAGGCTTCCTTCTAGAACCTTCTGCAGCCACCTGTGCATCTCCTTGTCTGTTCCGCCGGTCAGTGACCTTGCGCTAGGCCCGCCTTCCCAGTCGAGGGACCGCCCCTCGGAGGGGGACAGGGATGTGGGCAGGAGGCAAGAGGGAGAGGCGCC